GCTAAGCAGGGCTGTGGCGCATTCCTATTACTTCATGTGGATGAACCATCTGGAAGTTGAATCAAGCCACGGAGTGAAGGATGGGATCCAATTTTGCATTCACCAAAATAAGCCGTACTAGTCTCAATTTACGGCAGATGGCTGTGCAGTCTCAGCGGGCCGAACAATCTCTCTGCGAAAGAATAAAGTTTATGCCAATTACTGTAATAGGAACCAGCACAACCACCGCGCGGGGCTGGTGGAGACCGCACAGCTCATCAGGGGCGGGGGGCCAGGCTTGGGGGCGCCATGATGGGGAGGGACTCGGCCCATTGGTTAAGAGAATGCTCCAGAACGATGAGGGGTGGGGTCCAGCACAGGTGCTTCTTTGCGCAGGCCTGGGAGGGATGGACCTTGTGTGGCTCTGCCCAGGATGGAGTCTGGCTCCCGGAGAGCAGTGTGGACAAGAGAGCTTCTATCTCGGGCTGTGTCTGTACTCTCCTTCACTTACATCTGTTGAGTTAGGGTGCCTCCCATGACCAGGGCTGCTGGCACCCGTAGGGGCTCCAGACCTGGCTGGGCAGTGTGGACAGCTCAGCAGGAACCACCTTCGGCTGCCGAGGGGTCTCTGTGACTTTTTTTTTTTTAAGATTTATTTATTTTTTTATTACAAAGTCAGATATACAGAGAGGAGGAGGAGAGGCAGAGAGGAAGATCTTGCTCAACGGCTGGTGTCTCCCACACGGGTGCAAGGTCCCAAAGCATTGGGCCGTCCTCGACTGCTTTCCCAGGCCACCAGCAGGGAGCTGGATGGGAAGTGGAGCTGCCGGGATTAGAACCGGTGCCCATATGGGATCCCGGCATGTTCAAGGTGACGACTTTAACCGCTAGGCCACGCTGCCAGTCAGCTTCTGCCTTCCATTTTCAGACATTTATATGAGAAGCAGAGATAGATCTAGAGACTTCCATTCACTGGTTCACTTCTTTAATGGCTGTAACAGGTAGGGCTGGGTCAGGCTAAAGCCAGGCAACCAGAAGCTTCTTCCAGGTTTCTCATGTGGGTGGCAGGAGCCTAAGTCCCTGGGTCACCATCCACTGCCTTTTCGGGAGCATTAGCAGGAAGCTGAGTGGGAAGCAGAGCAGCTGGGGCTCCTTTTTGGGGGGGATGCTGATGTTGTTACAAGCTGTGGCTTACCGTGCTGCACAATCCCATGCCTTGTGCCCAGTTTTTAAATGAAAGTGGATCTTTTGGGGCTCACCCAGGACCATCCTGGCTTTCAAAGCAGCTAGGTTCTTCGGCTCCGAGGTCAATCCAGATGGTCATCGTCCGGAGTAAGCAACCACACCCAGTACCGTTGAGATTGTCATGCAACTGCTTGTTCGTTACATGCTGGGGCTGCCTGCCACGGTGATCCCAACTTCCAAAAGGGCTGTGACTCCATGGCCCTGTTGCTCGTAAGTGGTGGTCGCGGGTGCACAAGGCAGAAGGTGGGTACCCAAGTGCCCTAGGGCAGCGTGGCTTCTCAGGGAGGGCGGCCTCCATGCCCACTGTCCGAGCCCTGGGTGTGGCCCACTATTCCCTGGGGGTGGCTAACCGCATGGGGGAAAGCTGAGCAGATGTTCCCACTGGGCCCACGCAGGCCGCGGGGACCAGGGCCCGAGCAGACACGGGGGCCAGGGCCAGGATGGGCTGGGCTGGGCTGGCTGTTCGGAGGTCATCTGTGAGACTCCCCTGTCCCCATGGCAGGGCGCTGGGTGCCGTCTGTGGGGAGAGGGAGTGAATTCCGGGGCGAGTAGGAGAGGCCCCTGCCTGAGGCCCCGGCTGGAATGCAGGCGCTCCAGTGGAAAATCTAAGACTGTTGGGCTAAAAGGGGCTGGAGGAATCCAGAAACCTCCCTCCCCTGCCAGCTTTCTGGCATGTGCCCACGGGGAGGGGAACTCACAGACTGTCCAACAGATGCAGAGCTCAAAGACCTGCACCTGGGCGAGAGGAGGCACTGGTGGGCAGCCCCGTGGAGCGAGCATTCTGGACACCTTGGGCAGTACAGACTTCTAAGGTCAAACAGCGGAGGACACTTCTCGGGTAGGGAGGACCACCAGGCTAACTAACGGCCACGTGGCTCCCTCTGTCCAGGTCCTCTGTGGCTGACAGGGACAGCGGTGGCCCTGATGTGTCACCTCAGTGGGACAGAGCTGCTGCTGCTGACAACAGGACACGGGCACAGAGGCAGACAGGAAGGGACTGAGCTGTGCAGGGATGCTATAGGGAGCAGGGTTTTTTCTTGGCTGTGGGCTCTGGGCAGAACTGGCCGTGGCAGGTGGGCCTGTTTCCGAGCGGCCCCTTGTCATTCGTGAATGCCATGGCAGGTCTCAAAGGATGACTGACATGACAGCATTTAGCTCAACAGCTACAGACGGGCACTGTCTGGACAACAGAGGTAGAGTGAAACAGAATTCCCGACGGAGGAGCTGAACCATCCAGCGGGATCTGCAGGTGTTTCTAACATCTCTGGCTTGTTGTCAGCTCATCACAGTTCTCCCGTTCCATTTCCAGTTTCTCCTGGTTGGGAATCGGAAGTGTACAGCGGCTGCTCTGGACAATGCGGATAGAGGGCCGTGGGAAATCCAGAGAGGGCAGACGAGGTTGATGCGATCAGCAGCTTTGGCTGCAGGTGCTGTTCAAGCAGGACCAAGGCATCACGAGGGATGTTCTAGAGTGTCAACCTGGCAGAGCTGGACTGGGGTCATCCATTCACACGCCCTGTCAGGGTGTGGCACATATACAGCCCAGCAACCCAACCTGGCCCACCATCGGCGTCAGTTCTGTTTCATGCAAACAGGCACACTCGTGGTGTAACAATCTGCTGCCGTTTTTCCCTCAATGGGCAGAACTGAGTTGCTGGGCTAGGTCACACGGCCTGCAAGGCCTACTACTGTTCAGGCCACAGCCACATCACCCTGGATGTTCCTAGTCTAGTGTATGTCTTGGAAGCTAAGCAGGATTGGAAGCTAAGCAGTGCTTGGATGGGAGACCTACTACCACTCTTCAGCCTTGTGTCGTAAACCTGCAGGTCCCTCTGCCGGCTGAGGGGACGAGCACCAGGATGTATGGCCAGGACAAGGGTTCACAGGTTTTTGGAGGTGCTTCTGGCAAGGACAAGGGTTCAGGGGTGTCTGGAAACTTGGGGCCAATGAAGTTTTCTGGCTGGAATGAATGGCAGCAGCGAGCACCAGGGTGTTGAGAGCAGCTCTGCCCTGGGCTCGAGGATCTCAGAACCTTTGTTCAGGAGCCCCCAACTTGTGCCAGCAGCTACTGTGACTGCTAGGCCCCTGCCACAGCTGGCTGGAAGGCACCGACACCCTGGAGGCAGGGACCAGATAGCAGGACTCCAAAGGGGCTTTGGACACAGGGCGGGTGGCACTCGGCAGAGTTGAGTCCCTTCCTCATGTTTCCTTCGTGTAGAGGATGTGAGGTCCCAGCTACCATGGCACACAAAATCCAACCAAGACTGGAGGTCACATCCTTGAACCACAGCACAGTATCCTTGCAGAGGCCACCTCTGCAAACTGGGAGTGTTTCCTGGGAAGAAGTGGCACTTGGCTCTGGGGCAGGAAGCACATTAAACTTGAAGCCAGATCCTTTGGAGAGCTAGCTTCCAGGCTAAGTGGGAAGCCCGTCTCCTTGTTCTGGAGGGAACAGGAGGCATTTCTTGGCATGCAGAGCAATTCCTCCTGCAGTAGACTGTTTGGGTTAACGGATGCTAACACTTTAGATCACTTCTATTAGGAAAACAGACACCCTGAGTGATCCTGGCAGGGTGTCCAGCAGGCACCACTCGCTGGCAGCAAGCGCTTCAAGCTCACCAGGACCACCCTTGTCTCCAGCGCCTGCTCCTGTTGCCTCCCTCCCCCCTCTGGCCCCTCATGCCAAGTCTCCAGCCCCAACACCAACGATGAGCGTAACTTGGGAGCACCTGTTTGGAGTCGATGAACGCTCTCCCAACATTCTATGGCTCTGCAGGCCTAAGAACAAAACCTGAACACTTGCATAACGAATGGATGAGAGTGAGAGGAGTCCCTTGGGCCAGCGTGGTGGCATCCCCTTGTGGCACCAGCATCCCATAAGGACGTTGGTTTGTGTCCTGGCTGCTCTATTTCTGATCCAGTTCTCTGCTTATGGCCTAGGAAAGCAGTGGAGAATGAATCAAGTTCTTGGGACCCTGTACCCACATGGGACACCCCGAAGAAGCTCCTGACTTTGGATTGGCTCAGCTCTAGAACTTGTGGCCATTGGGGCGAGTGACCCAGTGGGTAGAAGATCTTTTCTCTGTAAAGTTTGCCTTTCAAATAACTAAATCTTAAAAAAAAAAAAAAAAAACAAAACACACACACACAAAAACACCAAGTCCCACATTGAACCCTTGTCAACTAAGCACAATGGATGTCCCTGGCATCCTCACAGAGACGACTTCTGGAGAAGGATGTACAATTTCTCAGCCTGAACCGGGGTCAGAGGTAAACCGCCAGGCAGGTGTCAGGAGGTCCTTAAGGACAGGAGGTGAGAGACCGGACATGAACTAGCAAGAGTTGGGACGCTTGCGGGGAAGGGGGCAGGGAGCTCCCATCAGCTGGGTCGCACCGTGAACAGCCCCAGCAGCCAAGGCCGGGGTGGGCTGAAGCCCGGTGCCTGGAATCCCGGCCGGGTCTCTCACCTGCACTTGGGCCTTCCCTGCTGTCTTTTCAGGCACAGGAGCAGAGAAGCAGGATGTGGGGTCAGTAGACAGACCAGCCAATCTTGAAATCCTGAGGGAATCTTGTGGGACTGTCGCTGTAGCTCCCATGGCTTAGTTTAAGAAACCAAACGCAGCAGTGTGCTATGGCACAGGCACAGGCACAGGCCAAGGGCCCGCCACCACCGGCACGCAGCCCGAGAGCTGTGCTGAAGTGAGAGAAGGCGGGGGTCTGAGGTACCACCAGCGCGCGTGTTCTCCGGGGACAACCACTCAGCACACAGGCAGCGCTTTTGTGATCAAATTTATTTTCTGTTTAAATTTCATTTACTTTTGTTTTACTGTAATTTACACCAGAGACTGCCAAGTAAACTAGGTATTTTACATTCACCACACATACCCCCAAATCTCCACAGTTGTTAGAAAACCATTACAAGCCAGGCGCTGGGCTGGTGCTTCCATGTGTGCCCAGGTGCCCAACACAACAGATGCCAGTGAGAGTTAAGTTCATTACAAGGAGAGGGCTGGACTCCTTACTTCGCGAAATGAGCCATCATCTCCCTCGTCCCCAGAGTGACGACTGGCTGATGGCTAACGGACCTATCTTACAGCGGGAGCGTCCCAAGGGTACGCAGCACGGGGAAGGTGGGCTGCCCAGCGGAGGACAATAGGGTCTCAGGATGTGGCAGTGACCCCGAGGCCCGGGGACACAGTGGGAGGGATCTGACTACAGGACAGGGCATGTCTCAGGAGGCAGGGGAGGTTACAGGAGCCGGGTCTCTACCCTGAAGGCTTCAACACCATTATTCTACTCAAGCTTCCAGGACCGACAGGATCAGACAGAATTGAGACAGAACACAGAGAAAGTTACTACAAATCTCATCTAGGTGTTCTGCCTGCCTTAAATTAAAAAAAAAAAAAAAAAAGAAAAAGAAAAAAAAGAAAGAAAAGTGGCAGTGGGCAGTGGGCAGTGGCTTCCAGCGAGCATCCGGGGCACCTGGGGTGGCAGCCCAGGGGTGGAGGTGTCCAGGCAGGGTCCCTGTCTCCAAGCTGGACACCTCCCAGCTGCAGAGGGCTGCCACGCACCCCATCTTGTGAGGACCCGGAGCATTTGCATAGTTTCCAAGCCACAGCTCCAGAACACAGATGTTCCGGGGACAAGACTCACCCGAGTGTCCTACCTCTAATTTTTCTGCACCATGACGATGAATTCCCTCTTCGACTTGTTTGCCTAGCAGGAGCCTGCGAACTGTCTAGTGTTGCTATAAATCACAAACTATCATCTCCGTTTTTGCTAGGTTTGGTGTAGAAAAATACTTGAAATTTAAAATACAAAAACTCCAATAAAAACCGGAAATTCTTTTTTTTAAAAGGATTTTCCTCTTCAGGAAAATAAGTAAAAACTGGCCTGTAACTTTACTCCTTACTTAATAGGTTTTGTCAAATTTGGCCGTAAGATAATGACTATTCAGAAATAAATAGCTATAAATACATTCAGTTTATAGTCTAGATTCACTGGAATACCAAAAGGGAAAAAAAAAATTCTTGAGGACATTTTCCTGTGGGAGTCTGCTGCTTATAGGATTAAAAGAAAAATTTATAAGATACTCGTTTAAAAGAACAGAAAAATAAGAAAAGGCTATATATATGTGTGTATATATATATATATATATATATTGGTCCATAACATGACATTTATGAAACATACCAGCTAGTATTACATTGCAGTCAAATCTGTCCATTAATGGTATTACTCTGATAATTATTATTAAAATCTGTTCCGGGTGTATGTATTGAAAATATTTTCTCTTGCATTCTTGCAGAAGACAGGTACAGTACTTTGGAGACACTGGGCTAACCCCTTCAGGAGCTCTGTACATACGCACACGCGTGTGCTGGTGGGGCTGCAGCTCGACGTGCGATCCACATACAGCTGCAGACACACGCACACGGACACACGCACACGCGTGTGCGCCGTCCCCAGCGCACGCCGAGCCGACGCCGACACTCTGGGCAGATTCGTCGTCACTCATCACTGGCTGCACTTGTTCCCCTCACTTGACCTTGGTTGCGTAACTGCGAGGGAAGCGGAAAGGCGACAGACGTTAGAACACAGCACGGGGAGCAAAATCACACAGCAGCTCGTTCAAAATTCAAAAGTAGCAAAACTTTTGGCAGAAGATGTTCCCTTACTACTACTGCATCTGAAAAAATTAATCTCTCCGAAAACATTTTGATCTCACTAATGGTATAACCTGTCTCACTGGAGGGAAAAATATATTAGAAGCAGAAATAAGTCACAGAAACTCAGGTGAACTTAACAAAACAAAAGCCACAAAAACTTCAGAAAACTTTCAAATGAACAGCGAACTTCGGAGGCACCCTGAAGGGACCCCCTCGCCTTCCCCGGCACGGCTGCCTCTCCTCGGGGCTCCTTCACCCTCCCGCTGCAGAGCTGCGGCGCGCAGTGGGCGGCAGCCAGGAGCCATGGGTCGGCCGGCTACCGACCACACGGTACACTGGCACTCCCAGTGTCCAGACGAGTGGGCAGAGTTTGAGGTTCTTTGCCCCTCTCGTGGAAAACGTTAGCTGGGCATGCGATGTATGACATGTGAGACCACTGGCAGGCTCTGTCTGTACATGATAGAGTAAAGACAACCGCAGACACGCCTGACGACTGGACACGAATTCTGCTGCACTGAAAGCATTTAAACTGGAATCAACTGTGGAAGCTGGCATGGGGGAAGGCAGGGGCTTTCTCCAAATTCCTTCAGTAGCCCCAGGGGGCTATGGAGAAACAGCCCAGGAACCGGCTGCGAAAAAAATCAGCCGCCTCCCCGCAGGGCAATAGGATGAACAGGCGCGCTGGCAGCCGCTTCTCCGACCTGCACCACTGCGAGCTTGCTCAGGGCCATCACAGCCAACACCCTCACAGAGCAGGAACTCGAGTGCTCACTGTCCAATTCTAAAAATAAAGCCCATTTCACAGACTGCCCAGCAAGTTCGCTACCCATCACCTTTTAGACATTCTTTGTACACAGGTCTTCACTTACACAGTTGGATTTTGTCTCTGACCCTACAGGGGACTCAGCTAGACATCAGCAGCCGACGTGCCTCGGACGGAACCCTTCTTACGCATCTAAACGTAAAATAAAATTGTGAGCTGCTGAAATCAGATTCTAGATAGGGGTGGGTGAGCAAGGGAAGGAGAAACAAGGGAGGGAGCTCCAGGAGAACTGGAAGTGCTGGCTATCTGCTCCTTACACAGCACCGACAGCCTGTGTGTACTCACATCCGGGCAGCTAAAGCCCGGCGAGCTAAATAACCTATGTGGCGATGTGAGGAAAGGTCCCCTGCTCTGGGCCCTGGCTTCTGAGTCCCTGGCACAGACAGGAAGCCACGCGGGTGTGCCTGCTCCTTACGACAGCAGGGTGTCCTGACTGCTTACTCAACAGAGGGAGAATGAGAGGCAGAACAGGAGCAACACAACACAGAGAACAGAAGCCAACAGGACGCATCAGCAAGGGCAGGCGCTCGCCAACCGCTACGGAGGAGGATGCAAACTGAGGGGGGAAACCAATAAAAATAGAGAAACGCAATGAATACACTCATTCCTAAAGGCTCACTACTCCCCAGCCCCCCTTCCTCCAGAGGCACCACGGGAGAACAGGGAGTTCCATGCTTGCTCAAAAAGCTCCTGCAGGGAGGAGCCCAACCCCAGGCACCATGGAGGGAAGACAGGCCAGGGACCCCCAGCCTCTCCAGGGCCAGAAGCCATTTCAGAGAACCAATTCTTACAATACTCGTGAGTTAAGAGCTCCAAATTCTACCATCAGGTGTCAGGGCAACGGGAGCAGGTGAATAGGGCAAGCTCCTGCTCAGCAAAGGGGATTTGAGGGCGCTAAGCCTGGTTGTGATGAGGCTGTGTGGCCTGCAGGCAGAGCTGCTCCCAGAGGAACTGTGAGGATTCAAGGTGGCCCATAACAGGACCAACCCTGAGATGAGCAGCAGGGACCGCTAAGACCGCTCTTCGAAACTGTTCCAAGATCATGGCCTGCCATCAGCAGGCCCCTCCATCTGCAGGTGTGAGGACGTGGGCGAGCCGAGGGGGAGGCCGGAACATATCCACGTGGGCAGCACTCTCAGGGTCAGCCAGGTTCTGCCCCATCCAAGAGGACCTAACGCCCACCCCCCGGGTGGTGGACATGTCTCTTGCTGCCGACAGTCCATCATAAATCAGAGCCAAAAGGACTTCCCAGACAATTGGAAAGAACAAAATTCCATTTGCCTCTTGTTTCTCTGTAGCCGGAGCCCGTTGGACGAATGGACTCACGCTGCTCTTCTTGTGTGCAGGCACCCTACGGTTAGAGCTGGCGGCCGAGCTGGCAGGCATGGCTACGGCTCCAGGAGTGCAAGCAGGCCCGGCAGGCAAAGGAAGCAAGCCCGTGGCAGTGGGCTGCTGCTTCCAGTTGAGAAGGGCTGCTGGACCCTTGAAAAGGCTCTACTCTACTCCTAGTGGGACGGGGGTCAGATTTTAATCACCCCACCCCCTAGATCCAGGAGCATCATCAGTATGAAAACTTGGGAGCAAGGAGGCTTCCACTTGGCTGATTGAGAAACCAAAGCCCATTTTATAATGTTGTCTTGATAACAAAGCATGTTCCAAATTCCAAACAATCAAGTTAAAAACTTTTGGAACAAAATCCATTCATAAGTTGGAGTCTGCCCGTAGTTTACTTTTTATATAAGATAAGGTTAAAACATTTTATTGCCTTATAAAGTAAGTATGTCCCAGTCCCTTTCAGAACATTTGTATAAAGTTAATTAGAAGCAGGCCCGCCATAATCACCAAACATAAGCAAGTAGAAATCCCAGATTCTTTACAATGCTATGTGCCAGGGAACCCGACCTGCTGCCACTCTCCTGTGACTAAACCTGCCTCACACTGTGTGTGTGTCCAACACGGTGCACCTGCAGGGCTTCCAGAACGGGGCCTGCTGGCCGGACCTGTGATGACGGCATGGAAACCACAAGCAGGCCCTGGACATTCCTTGGGGTTCTTTCCCCCACAGGGTCTTGCTGCCAACTGCAGACAAGCGTGGTCCAGAGTAAAAACAAAACCAGATGCGCGCAGGAGGAAGCCAGGGCAGAGCTCATCCACAAGGGCAGCCTCCCTCCACCCGGCTGCGGGGCCTGCTCACGGCTGCAGGCGCTGGGGGGCTTGAGCCAAGGCAGTGACACGCCCAGCTGGCTTCCGGCCCAACCATCACCTGAGCCAGACTCCAGCTTATCAGGAACTAGCAAGTCGCTGCTGGCCAGAGGAGGGGAAGAGGCAACTCCACAGCCACGGGCCAGCCCACGGGTGAGCCCACGGGCCTACCGTGTCTACACAAGAGGCAGCAGTGCTGACTGCACTAACACTCATAGCTTGCTGGGACACAAACTGAGTGAGAACCCACTTGGTCTAGACTGTGAAGGCCTAAAAGGAACGCAGAGCATGCAGGGAACTAAGGCACGAGAGAGCGCCTACAAAGCTGCTGGACATTTCACAGGTCCCAAGTTGGAGACCAAGAGAGCTTTGGTTTATCCTCCTGAGAGGTGCTCAGGACGGAGGGAGGAGGACGGGGAGAGCATCCGGGAGAACCCACAGGAGGAGGCATGGCTTCGAGCTACTGTTCCTAACCCAAGGTCTACACTCACCGAGCACGTGAGGGAAAACAAAGGAGTCTCAGAGAATGGCAAGTCTTACTGTTTCTAGCTCTTTCTGAGTTTCGTCTTCCATTCTCCTGATGTCTTCCATTGTCAAATCAATCCACTTGTCAATCCAACAAAAGAGCTGGCGATGAAAGTTTGTGAATATCCTTTTTTCTTGCTTTTAAAAACAAAGGAGAGTAGCATAAGATGGTAAAAACTCAAGATTCATGACACATTAACCTTACTCATCCTGATTAACTCACAAAACTTTACAGAGCGCACAGAGGCCTGACTTCTATCACCACCCTCCACAGCACAGGGAGAAGGGACGCTTCAGAAGCAGGAAGTAAATCTCCCCAGCAAAAAGCACAACCCAGCAGGAAAATAAGTGATGTGCAGGACCTGACCCAGACTCCCCCTGGACCTGCTTTTTTTTTTTTTTACGGTTTTTCTAAATGTCCATGAGTAAAGGTCAAGTGGACTCCTGCCATCCGCTGCCAGGTCCTGCCGCTCCGCAATGCCAGGGAATACTGGGAGGTGGCAGCGCGCTGAGGATCCTAGGGTCTATGATCAAGTTCCACTATTATACTGAGGATTATTCTCAATCCGCTACGGATGTCTTTTTATAAAACATTAATTTGTTTTCAAAGTCAGAATTACAGAGTGAAGGGAAGGGGACAGACGACCTTGCGTCCACTGGTTCACTCCCAGATGGCCAAAAGGCAGAGTCTGGCGAGGTCAAAGCCAGGTCTCCCCCTGGGTGGGTCATTAGCAGGGAGCCAGATCGGAAGCCAAGCAACTGGGACTTGAACTGCTGGCTGTCCACGTGGGGTGACAATGTCACAGACAGCGGCTCCACCTGCTACCCAACACTGCCCACTCTAAAGTGTTTGTGGTAAATGATCCTGCCACTACGTATGACCATGTATGCAACCGGCAGTTTCAGTGCTAGCATTATTTAAGTGTAAACTTTTCCAAGAGAGAAAAGTCATGGAACAGCGAATATTTTTGGACAGTTTCCAACTGTTCCCCTCCACGAACAGAATGGGCTTCAATTAAGAGGGGGGCTTCAAGATGTACACAAAGATTTGCACTGTTTCCCATAACGCGCGTGTACGTGTGACTTCCATTTACCAGAGCTGGATCATCTATTACTGTGATGTAAGTGGAAGGGAGGAAACCAACATTTACACAGCGCCGACTGTGGGCCAGCTGCAACGTTTACACAGCGCCTACTGTGGGCCAGCTGCAAGCAAGCCCGGGAATGATGGACACTTCCAGCACTTTTCAGATGTGCCTGTAGCTCCAAGTAGAACTGTGGTCAAACTCATCTTCGCAGCCCACGGGTGTTGACCCAGCTCTAGCAACTCCCCCTCCTTCTGCTGTTAACTGCCCACGTCATTTCCACCTTCACAGAGGGCAGCCACAGTCTGGAGCCCCAGCGCATCCCCTGTTTCCCAGGAGCACTGAGGAAGGCCTGCCTGGTGCAAATGCAAGGTGTGAGACTCCCAAGGACTACGCACAGCACGAGGGAGGTGGTGCTGCCGAGTCGGGGCAGGCTGCCCTCGCTCTCCAGCAGGGCCAGGGTACCAGGTACCTCTGGGGACCCGCCGCATGCATCAAGGGGCTCTCTGCTGCAAGGCTGGGCATCGGGAAGGCACAGCACAAAAACAGGACTGCCCTCCCCCAAGACAGCCCTGAAAACTCCACTGGCATCTGCTTCTGCTGTTTCTGGGGATGAAAGGAAGGGCAGAAATGAGTCATGCAGACATTAACTTTCACATCATAAGACAGGGAAGAAAGCAGTAACTAAATCTCTAACAGAGATCTCAGATCTTGACGGAAACGTCCGTCACCGGGCGCTGAACAGCTTTACCTTCTGAATGAAGTTTTCTACTTTGCTTTGCAGTCCCCACCACTTGAACTTGATGGTCACCAGCTTATAGGCACACATCTGGGGACAGTCAGGCTTGTTGGCCAGCTCCTTCTAGATGAGGAAAACGGAGAAGAGGAGACCATGACTGAAATATTCATGTTCGGATTAAAACTGACATCTGTGCGACAAGATCAGACATTCAAGAAGAAAATCAGAACCTTTTCTGTGTGTAACTCCACTGTATGGAAACACCAAACCATCTCAGCAAAGCTGTCCTGCTCCCCTGCCACGGCCCTGCGCCCATAGAGCAGGCTGCTGCCCTGCCACGGCACTGCGCCCACAGAGCAGGCTGCTGTCCTGCCAGGGCACTGTGCCCACAGAGCAGGCTGCTGTCCTGCCATGGCCCTGCACCCACAGAGCAGGCTGTTCCCCTGCCACGGCGCTGCTGCCCTGCCACGGCCCTGCGCCCACAGAGCAGGCTGCTCCCCTGCCACGGCCCTGCTACCCTGCCATGGCCCTGCACCCCCAGAGCAGGCTGCTCCCCTGCCACGGCCCTGCTGCCCTGCCATGGCCCTGCGCCCACAGAGCAGGCTGCTCCCCTGCCACGGCCCTGCTGCCCTGCCACGGCCCTGCGCCCACAGAGCAGGCAACTCTCTGGCTCCAACTTGAATAGGTGTGCTGCTCTGCCTCCAATGACCTGAATCAGATTTCTTGCTAGGTATTGAGTCCGACTCACATCCCATCAATTATGCTACTACTGCACTCCCATGGTGGGTGTACGGTGGGGTCCAGTAAAAGTGTCTTCCCTGTCATGTGAAACTGGCAGTGGAGTGGCACAGTCTGCGTATTAACTGAAGTGATCCCTCAGAAGACAGATACGCAAAGTGACGGGGCCTCAAAAGATAGCTCTAATTAGCATGCATTCAAAGGAAATCTTTAACATACAGAATTTTAATTTCCACAAAGAATTATATCTCATAGTTTAAACTGTGCTGTTAGGAAAAAATCAAAGATTTTCCCCCTTGTAAATGAGGCAAAATATTTTTAAAAGAGAGCAAATGTGGACTACAGAAGACTAAGGACAGGTGGGGACCGTGTTGCAATGGGCGATGTCACATCCTGACCCAGCTCCACGACAATGTGCCTGGCAAGGCAACAGACGATGGCCCAAGTCCTCGAGTCCCAGCCTCCCACATCAAAGACCAGGATGGAGCTCTGGCTCCTAGATGTCCGAGCCCCAGCCACAACAGCCGTTTGGGGAGTGAACCAGAAGGTGGAAGACCTGTCTCCTCTCTGTTGGCTCTGACTTTCACATAAACAAATCTGCGAGAGAGAGCAGACAGACTAGAACATCTGCAATTATTTCAGAAGGCAAACAGCTGGATCCTTAGTAAACACTCACTCTGCTTCTCTGGCAGGACAGACAGGGCTGGGAGAGCGGAAAGCCCGGGCATCAACAACTGCAGCCTACAGGTGGTAGAGCCCATGGCTCCGCTCTTCAGTGCTCGGCTGACTCAACCGTGTGGGCCGGAGGGTGGGCTAGGCTGGGATGCTGGATGCCCGGGGGCACTGTGGCTGGAAGGCTCTGCCTCAATGAGCAGAGCACATGAGCAGGTTGCCAGGTGGGGGGCTGAGGGGACGCTCATAGCATGCACCAGTGTGGTCACTGAGGGGCCCTCCGAGGGAGGCTGCCCCAGAACGGCCGCTCTGGCTGGCAGCACTGGGCACACAACGTTTCCCATGGAAAACCTGAGGGCGGCTGAGGCCGCTGGCATGTGTGCTCTGCGATAAGAGCTGTATTTACCACTTTGAATCTGAAAAATAATTCAACTGACAAAACTCCCCGCTCCACCTCCCCACGATGGCCAGGCCAGTGCAGGCCTGGGCCAAACCTGACAGGAGGAAGCAGGGGCAACTTTAAGTCAATCTCCTCCAGCAGTATGAAGTCGCGGGCAGCACCCCGGTTCCTCCCTGCCATCCACACAGCAGCGTCAGGCAGGCCAAGCCAACCTGCTTCTCGCTGGCGTTCCCTGGCAACTCCACTTTTGGAGCGCTGGGCAAACATTCTTCCCATCCAGAATCTAAATTCAAAAGCTGACAGATGTCGAAGTTGTCCTCTAAAGCCTCGGGCTGATTCTCCCCTAGATCCCATTTTACACCACAGTGGACTACCCTGTCCCAGCTTCAAGTGAATTCAGGAGCTACCCTACATGTGAAAGTCTATATGCTCTTACTTAATGGGACGCAAAGCCCTGTGACGACTTGCATGACTGGTCAACCTTCCCCAAGATCTGATCTGAACTAACATTTCCTCTTCTGAACAACGACCTGATCTGTGGGTTAAATCAATGAGGCAACACTAGCAAGCATTTCAATAAAAACAGCCCAGTGCGGTGTCCTTTCAGAACTGCCCGGCTAGCTCAGCTGTACTTTCCCAGGCTCCCCTTGTAAAACAGTACCAATGTGACAACTCGGCGTGTGCACGTCACTCCACACTTCATGAACAAGACTGCTTCAGCAAGCAATGGGGGACCCACGACACCCGCTAGACCATATCCAAGTTCATTCCAGGAATGGATAATGCCCACCCCGCACAGGCATTCAGTGATCTCTGCCAAAAGCAAGCACAAGTGGGTCTGAAAATCCCAAACCTGTAGCAGGCTAAGTTTACACCCAACCTTTTGCACAGCTGCGCATGATGCTGTAACCATCTAAACACCCTACCCCCGATACAAGTAACACTGGGACACCATCTCCTCCGCGCTTGGTGCCAAGACTCTTCCAGAAGGGACACCCTTCGCTGTGCAGGCTGCAGTCCCGCGCCAGCCAGCGCTGCTGTGAGTCGGGGTGGGATGGGTTTGGTTCAGTTTTCCTCCTACGACAAGGCTGATCTTCCTAGAGGGATTTCTCAACGGGCAAGGAGCTAACGCTGAAGCACTAATCCCATGAGTTGCCCAAAATCCTCTTGCTGGGACAGTTGAAGGATGCACCTGCCAGGCACTAGTAGTGCTAACACAGGCGGGGAGGAGAGGCACGAGCTGGCCTCGGTCACAGGGAAGGCTAGACTCCAGCAGTGTGAACCCCAAGCAGGGGCAGTGAACTGGGCTCTAGTTCCTAGCTGCAGATGGGGAAGGATGTGCGAGTTACAAAGCACAGCTGCGAAAGGACAAAACATTCTCCACATTCACTGATTTGTCCTAAAACTTCCTGCTGCCTTTTCTGTTTGTTTTTTAAAAAAGATTTATTTACTTATATTGGAAAGTCAGATATACAGAGGAAGATCTCCCGTCCACTGGTTCACTCCCCAGGTGGCAACAGCCACAACTGAGCCGATCTGAAGCCAGGAGCCTGGAGTCTCTTCTGGGTCTCCCATGTGGGTACAGGGTCCCAAGGCTTTGGACTGTCCTTGACTGCTTTCCCAGGCCACAAGCAGGGAGCTCGATGGGAAGCGGGACTGCCAGGATTAGAACCAGCACACTATGGGATCCCAGTGCATGCAAGGTGAGGTCTTTAGCTGCTAGGCTACCACACCGGGCTCTCCTATTACTTTCTGTCTTATACCTGGGCTTAATCAGGAAAACCCTGCCCGCCCCAGCTTAGGCTGTTTCTTTGGCAGCGGAGTACTGTGTGGTATGTGGGAACAACCCTAACACACACGGAAGGGTCCACCAGCTCTGCTGCTGACCGCTGCACTCTGCAGCCTTCAAATTCACCGGACACTTTGTTCTAACAAAAACCCTGGGTAGTTTCTAGGAGAACACCGACTTTTTGGAATTTTCCAACTATTTTATAAAAACATCAGGATGAGGCATGGTTCTAATTAACGGAATAAGCTCAATGTAATACAAACACGTCCCTCTCGAAGTTGGGTTTCAGGCACAGAATCCACACACGTGACTCTGGTAATGAAGCAAGTATGTTTCTCACATTCTTCCCGGTGACTCTGCCAGACTGCTCTGATCAACGAACTCACCAGCGGCAGAGCTAACACTGGGAGTCTGTAAAATTTATTCCTAAAAGCTGAGTGACGGGCCCCGAGAAGAAAATCAGCTCTTCAAGTTATCTCCAAAAGGGACACTCGGTCTCACTGTTTTCCATCTGCCTTATAACTGGTAACACTAAAATGCCTTCTAGTGAAGTGTGCGAACAGCCAGCTGCCTTTCTCTCCTGGCCTGATGCAACGGCGACCTGTGCAGGGCAGACGGCCGACTCTGAGAACGCCCAAGCCACGTCCTGCGTTTCTGCCATCAGTAGCAAACCCACACAGTAAAACTGGGAACCATCTTAAACGTGAACAACGGCTCTCCAACTGAAACGGAGAACTAGTAAAGGTGTGTAAGCAAAACATCTGTAACAGAACCCTTTGGTATCGTCGCTCTGGAGTGAAAGACCAAACCACTCAACAACAAGCCTTTAAGCCCCACAGCCTGCCACATGCCCTTTACCTGGTAATGCCACTCTGGGAAATACATCCCATTGGCCAGGTGAGGAAACACCGCCACAGACTTAAACCTAGACTCACTAATTACTAACTCAACATCCGCTGCAGTGGCGTGGGGAGACGCTTCCCGGGCCCTCTGAACACTGGGCCATTGCACACTTCCAAGTCAAGAACGCGGTGCCAGTGGGAGAGCGGGAGTCACAGGCAATACGGGCATCAACATGGACGTGGGAATCACGGGCAGTGTGTGGGCATCAACACGGACGTGGGAATCACGGGTAATACAGGCATCAACATGGACGTGGGAATCACGGGCAGTGTGTGGGCTTCTACATGGACAAAGCACACCGATCGGGAGACAGACCAAAGACTGGTAATTAGGTGGTAGAACTGCAACTGAATTTTTATTGTCTTTTAAATAAAAAAATTTTTCCTCCAAAGCTGATGGTAGCATTTTATAATCAAGAAAGGGAAACCAAAAACAAAAACAAACCAAAAACCTACTGCTTAAAAGATTGCCTCAAAAAAAAAAAAAAAAATGTTTGGGCCCTCAGCCAAATATTTTAGGACAAAGATTTACACTGCCCTAAATTATCTGTGTATCACTTTCAATCAAAATATTTTTTTTTCTGCTCTTCTTTTTGATGTTTAATAAATCAAAGCTATGCAA